CCCTTCCTTAAATATTAATATCTTTTTTATACCTCTTTGATTTGCAGTTTTTAATTTTATTGTACTGTATATTAAAAGTTGCTAGCTGCTCTGAGAAGTGTATTAAGGAACGGGCTATACATCATTCCACTAAATGAAAAATAAATAAATAATGTTTCTCTGAAGAGGGATTTGATAATTATTTCCCCTCTATATAAAACTATTATATTTAATACTTAACAACAACCAAAAAAAGATACTGGTTTACAGTTTTAACTTCATGCAATTTTCTCTTTGGAACTTAAAATACGTTTTGAAACTTATTTCTCCTTCCAACAAGAAACTACGGTTAGTTATAGAAAGAAGCCCAATGGAAATTACATCAAGGAATAATGAATCAAATCTCAGCCGTCACTCTATCCTAAACTCTTGACATTTGTCAAATACTTTACACCAGGTGTGTTCAACCTTAGCAACTTTAAGACTTATGGACTTTAAGACTTACAGACTTCAACTCCCAGAATTATGCAGCCACCATGCAGGCTGGGGAATTCTGGGAGTTGAAATCCACAAATCTTAAAGTTGCCAAGGTTGGACATTCCTATATTACACCCTCTTTCTCCAAACTTGATGCCTTCCCAGTGTATGGTTTTCAACGCCCAGAATTCCTAGCAGTACCAATGCCTGCTGGGAAATTCTTGAACTCTATATATTCAGAAGATAACCAACTTGGGGGAGGATGATTGCATGGAGAGTAGAGCATATCAATTTGTTGCTGTCTGCCTTCTATATCATTGTGCAGGAGACGCTCAACAGAAAATTCCATAAATTTATGGGATATGGGATGAAGAGAGATTTGTTTAACCTTAGACAGAGCGAAGAGTTATTATATGTGTTTATACCTGTTGCGATGAAGGTTGGAAGTCATTTTTTTATATTTTTATATTTTTTCTTTATTATATTTTTCTTTTCTTCTTTTTCCTTTTGGCCTGCACTTTTTATTCTTTCTTTCCATTCTCTCTCTTTTTTTTTTTCATCTAAGTTTAGCTGGTATTAGAGTTTTTTTTTTTACTATTGTAATAAAAATTCTATTGTATAGAGACAGAGAGAAAGAGAAGATTAAAGGGAGAAGATTTTTAAAAAAGTCCAAGAGAGGGTTGAAAATCAGGCTGAAATTAATAGAGTGGAATTTAACAGACATAAATTTAAATTCAGTAGTACTCAATAGGTAAACACTGCCTGTCAACCTGTTCTATTTTGTTTGCTCAAACCTTTCGCCTTGCTTATTATTTATTGTACATTGACTTAAAAAAAAAAATTTTGTATTGATAGCTCCACCATCTGCAGTCAGATGGTGCCGAAATCAAATAAATAACTCAATATAACAGATGGAGGATGATCAAACTTGGAGGAATCCTGTCTATCGATGCCACATATTTCTCTTTATTTGCCGTAATATCACCAGGGGTTCCATTAGAGTTTTATACATATAATTATCTCAATATTCATAATGTATATGTACTATACATAAAACATTCTGCCTAGGAGTCTCAGTTTTTCTAGCATTGCTGCTTATAAAACAGAAGGAGAAGGCACATTTGCACACAGAACAGATAGGCTCCAATAATTGCAGCCTTTCGTAAAAATTCACCAACACATTCCTTTTCCTCAGTGCTTCAGTATATATCTATAGGGCTGCTGCATCTGATGATGGAAAGAAAATTGTCTATTGCTTATTGTGACTGCAGTACTAATACAAATGCTTGATCACTTTTTAGACTCCTCTCACCCTATCATCCTGTTTCCACTTGTCTCCAGCTTGATGTATTTTTGAAGCTGGCAGAAAAGGCATAAAAATAACACTTTTTACACACAACAAATGAATTGTCAAAATGAAGTTCTGAAACCAATCTAACCAAGTTCCGTGAGCGATAAAGTTAGAAGGAGGCAGAAAGTTGTATTAAAAGTGCATTTTGCATTTTAGTGTAGGAAGTTAGCACCCCACCCCTCTCCTAGGAAAATGAGATATTTTGGGAAATATTAAAAGGGCAGAATATTTCTCCTAAAAGGAAACTCAGCCCCCACCCCCACCTTTGTCAATGGGCCATTAAGGCGTGGGCCAGTCTATTCAACATAACATCTACCTCCTTCAGGCAGAGCCATAGTAGGAATTGCCCAAAGCCCTTTCGTTACATCATCACCCAGCAAGAGTCAACCAAGCCTGGGACTCAAAAGGCAACCTACAAAGTTTCCCCCTGCATGGCCCCATGTGAGCCTGACAACCAATCAGAGCACAAGCTCAAATTCAAAGCCCATCAGAGGGCATAAAACCCAGGGACTCTCAGCATCTCTGCCCTTTTTCTGCCCAGGATCTCAAGCCATGTGATCCTGTTTATCAATAAACTTTCTTTCCAAGCAACTTCCATGAATCCAGGGTCTTTTTCCCCACTTGGAACTGAACCCAGGTGGACATTTCTTCCAACATTAGAAAAGTTTTATTTCCCCTTGACTCTGTATTAATCTGTAAAGCAGTTAATTCCTAGCTTCAAAGGATGCCTCTTATTTTTGAAGATTGTAAACATGCATCTAACAGTGCAGACGCAAGAAAGGGATGGTTAGAAACATTTAAGACAAATAGGAATATGACACACATATTACCGTGGCAATAATGACATGTCTAATTTTGCAGAAACAAAACAAATGTTTGAACAAAAGAAGAAAAATATATTTTTTTACAATTCTTATATTTATTTAAAATCACATTTTTCCTCAAGGCAAGATTTCTTAAGGCTAATTACTGCCGACAGCTATCAAAAGAATTGACATTTCTCTAAGTGCAACAGGCTAACAGCAAATATTATAATTTCTAAGACTTGTCTTTTAAGTTGTCTGTTATCAAGCTTTATTATAAAAACACAAGAAGTGGTTGCTAGATGCGATCGTAGGCACATCTTGTCTCTTGCAATTAAGAAGGATCAGTAAGATATTTTCAGGTAAGCCACCAGCAAGCTAGGAAAACAACAACCTCTCCATTTTATTTTTGTCGCCTATGAACTTTTGTTCTGATTCTACAGAACATCTTGGTAGTTATTCTTAATTCCAGGTTACGTTTGCATAAGATTTTGCAATAGGAGAGAAGACTAAATTACAAACGAGTTATAAAACGTCAGACATAAAATGCAGATCCTTACCTCAAGATTCTCCAGAGAGAAAGCAAAACATGTATTCTATCATCTGAATGATGTATTTTGCCCCAAAGGATGTATAACCACCCAAAATACAAGAACCAGATCACCCAAATCAGCCCATTATTTCAAACATCAGAAAAATCACCAACATTCCAAATCACGTAAAAGAGAAGAAATCACAGATTTCTTGAGAAAGCTATTGGTGATCTCTGGACTATATCATCCCAGCAACTGTGGATGTTGAGGCAATCTATCCCAACATCTACAAGAAAGATAAACTGTTTGGCTATTTAAAACATCATTATTGACAAGACAAAAACAAAACTGGGTACCAGATTTTGAGACTTCCTACTTAGTCCAAATGACTGTATTTTTGATAGCAGCGCATGGCAGGTCTATAACTGCCTTTACATCCCCACTCAGTTTAAAATAGCTACATACATACCCACTAGTAGAGATAAACATAAACAACAACACAACCACACAAAGATGAGAACCAAATCTTGTCAAGTCTGCCTCCACATTTACAACAACGACTTCATTACATGTCCACACAACATCACCTACAATGTTATTACTTTTGGATTCTTATCCTCTGAGGTATGCCATCATGTGCCAACAATGTCCTTCTACAAGGGACAAACTAGCCAGACTATGAGCAAAATAATACATGGGCCTTAGTTGGACATCAGAGCTGACAACAGCATCAAGGCAGGGGTAGGTTCTACTTATCTTTACTACTGGTTCACAACGAGACCATGCACACACGTGAGCGAACCTGTACAGATTGCTGATGACAACATCCAGGGCAGTGGGTGGGGTCTCCCGCCAGTTTTACTACCGGTTCTTGCAAACCAGTCCACTGCAACAAGGCAATGGCACATTTCAGCCTATCAGGACCCTCCTTCAGTAACCTCAAAACATCAGGGGTAGAAGTTTGTCTACCACATTCATAGTTACAAAAAATTGGCCACCAAATTCCAATCTATTAAAAAATCCGATCTATTCTAGCAGACTTGAGTAGGGAAAGTGGTTTTTTTGTCCTTTCAGTTTGCAAGATGGTAGTAACACTAAGCCCTTGTATATATATAAAACTGAATAAAGTATATTTTTTAAAAAAAACAAAAAAAAACCCCCACTAAGCCCAGTGGTGGGTTGCCCCCGGTTCGGTAGTAAAACTGGCGGGAGGCTCCGCCCACTGACCCTAGAAGTCATCAGGAATCTTCTTCGCATGCAACGGCCCCGTTGCGAATCGGTAGTAAAGGTAAGTAGAACCCATCCCTGACTCAGCCTCCAGCTGTCTATAAGAGCTTCTTCTCAGTCTCAGCTATTGCACAAATCCATTAGCTTCCCACCATTTCCCCACCAAGCCTTTTCTCACCTTTTAACTCATGTAATAGTGTATCTCGTCTCTCAAGCGATCCAATGAGCTGCTGAAGCCTTACAGCAATAGTACTTAGACTTATGTACCGCTTCATAGTGCTTGTCAGAACTCTGGTTTACAAGATCAGCATATTGCCCTGCCAACAATCTGGGTCCTCATTTTACTGACCTCAGAAGGATGGAAGGCTGAGTCAACCTTGAGCCGGTCAGGATCAAACTCTAGGCTGTGGGCAGTTAGCCTGCAATGCTGTATTCTAACTACTGCACCACCACGGCTCCTCAATAAATGAGGTTTATGCCTCAATAAAGTTGATCAGCTTGGAAGATGTTATCAGATTCCATGTAGTCTAACTTTGCAAATGAAAAAAACCTTAAAAAAAACTTTCAGATTTGTAATTCCATCTTCAAATAAACCATAAAATATCTTATCATTCCAACCTCAATCCTTACCTGCTACTGAAACTTTGGCTGTTCGGCTGATGATAGCTCCAGTTCCTTCTAATGATGCTTCACACTGGTAAAGGCCTTCATCGGGTTTATGATGTCTGGAATGGACAATATTTTGTATCAAAAGAGATCCATTGGAAAACTGTTGTCTTCTCTCGTCCACTGCCAAGTTTAAAAAGACGCCATCCTTTTTCCATTTGATTACAGGAAATCCTTGATCTGATTCTGCCGTACAGTTCAACAAAATGTTAGTTCCCCGTGTAGTGACGGCATCTGAAGGTTCAATCAGGAAGTGCAATGTTGTAAATCCCATAATCTGGGCACCTGTTGGGATGAACAGCCAAAAATAATCCAGTTAGTCATATGCCAGGAAAGCCTTGTTTCTGCAAGATGAATATCTCCAAAATTGGAAACTTTCCTTAACTTTATCTCTATCTCTATCTCTATCTCTGTCTCTGTCTGTCTCTGTCTATTATCTATCTATCTATCTATCTATCTATCTATCTATCTATCTATCTATCTATCTATCTATCTCTGTCTGTCTGTCTGTCTGTCTGTCTATCTATCTATCTATCTATCTATCTATCTATCTATCAATAGTGGTGGGGCTCATTAATACGAACAATGAGTCTGCTTATAGAAAGGAAGTACAAGGGCTGACATTGTGGTGTAAAGAAAATGATCCTACACTTAACACCAAAAAAACTAAAGAATTTATAATTGACTTCAGGAGGAAGAGAGATGTACATCTACCATTGTACATAAATGGTGAGGAGGTGGAGAGGGTTGGTAGTTTTAAATTTCTGGGCATTTATATCTCGAAAGACCTCTCATGGACTATGAATGCTAACATGCTTGTGAAGAAGGCACAGAGGAGGCTGTACTTCCTGAGAATGCTCAGGAAGATAAATCTATCTCAGCATCTACTTCTGTCCTACTATCGCAGCACCATTGAGAGTGTCCTGACATACGGCATTCTTGCATGGTATGGGAGCAGCTCTGTAGCGGACAAAAATGCTCTACAGAGAATCATTAAAACTGCCCAGAATATCATCACGCTCAGCTACCAGCCCTGGACAACATCCTCGAATCTCGCTGTTTGAAGAAGTTGCATAACATTCTCAGAGACTCTTCCCATCCTGCTTACAATCTTTTTGGACTGTTGTCTTCCGGCAGAAGATACAGAACAATTAAAACTCGGACCACACGTTTTCTGAATAGTTTTTATCCCAGAGCTATAACTGCACTCAACAATGAATTAAAGGGCCACCATCAGTGAGCTGTTGGACTGCATTACTTAGTCTGTTGTGTGGATGTTTGGGTGGTTTATAGGTGGGAAATTTGTGGTGGGTAGGAGTGTGTTTGGGGATTGTTATGTGTGTTGGACCTGGTCTTTGGGTGTTAAGTGAATTTCGTTGTATGGGTATACTGTGTATACACGTACAATGACAATAAAGTTGTTCTTGTTATTGTTGTTATTGTTGTTATTGTTATTAATATCTATCTATCTATCTATCTATCTATCTATCTATCTATCTAATCTCTGTCTGTCTGTTTTTCTGTCTGTTTGTCTCCTTGAAATATATAGTTTTTTTAACCTGAGCTGGAACATTAAATTTAATTTTGATTTTAATTTTAGGAAACATTCTGACTACAATTTAAGGTTACCAATTAAAATAATCCCCATCTGTTCTGAACCACAATGAAACCAAAATTAGGAAACATACTGTGCTACATGTAGTTGAAGCATCACACACAAATATGCAAGGTTCAGAGTTTACATTGCAAGAATAGATGATTGTTTCCTCACTCCCTCCACCCGACATATATACTCACACTTATTCTGTCTTAGATATTTAAACAAAATTTAACCATACCTAAACAAATACATTTCTCTTTAGCCAGGTTCTTCCTACGTAAACCAAAATGTTTATGCAGCCCTGGTTCAGTGAAATCACAATCCACTAGTTTCTAGGCTTTTTTTCTGGCAGCCAGCAAACACTCTGCTGCCCATTGGGAGACTAAGGAGACTAAGATAGATCTATTTCAGACTTATAAGTCCTCATCAGTTAGCCACACCCTCATCCCATGTATCCTCCCTGTAAAGGTACAGTTTTTGTTTTCTTTCCTTTTCGTAGGCTTTATGTGTATTTCTCTTTAGCCAGGTTCTTCCTAAAAATCTTGGTTTACATAGGAAGAACCTGGCTAAAGAGAAATACACATAAAGCCTATGAAAAGGAAAGAAAACATATGTATGTATGTATGTATGTATGTATGTATGTGTATATATATTATATATATATATACATACTTAAGTGTGTGTGTGTGTGTGTAGGTCTTTGGTTATTCGGGTTTTCTCCTGCATAAAATTGGAAGTGTCTTGGCGACGTTTCGACGAAGTCTCATTCATCATCTTTAGGCTGGTGTTTTCGGCTTCCTAGAAGCACAAAGCCGAAAACACCAGCCTGAAGATGACGAATGAGACTTTGTCGAAACGTCGCCAAGACACTTCCAATCTTACGCAGAAGAAAACCCGAATAACCAAAGACCTACATATATATATAAATGGTGAAATCCAAAATTTTTTACTACCGGTTCTGTGGGCATGGCTTGGTGGGCATGGTGTGGCTTGGTGGGCGTGGCAGGGGAAGGATACTGCTAAATCCTCATTCCCTCCCCACTCCTGGGGGAAGGATATTGCAAAATCTCCATTCCCACCCCATTCTGCAGCCAGCCAGAGGTGGTATTTGCCGGTTCTCCAAACTACTCAAAATTTCTATTTCTATATCTATATCTATATCTATATCTATATCTATATCTATATCTATATCTAATCTACATCTACATCTACATCTACATCTACATCTACATCTACATCTATATCTATATCTATATCTATATCTATCTATATATAGAAGATATATATATATCTTTCCTAATGTTCGTTAAACCAAAGAAGTATTTAATCAAGTGTATATTTGCATCCTGCCATCTGCAGAAACAAAATAATGAGAAAAGAAAGACTAATTTGCAGTTTCAGAATTCAACCAAACTCCCCAAGGCCTTTTAACTTTCCAAATCTCAACAGTAGGTTGAAAAAAAAAAGAAAAGAAATAGTTAGCATCAAATTCATCTAAGGCAGATGCCTATCAGTATCTTAAGATCTAATCCGCTTTAGAGGGCTCAGCTTGTGTTCCACTCTATGTGTTTTATTACTTCTATCTTAGTCCTCTGCACATAGAAGAATGCAATTCCCAAAGGGTATCAATTATTCAACAGTTTACTCAAACAAACCCCTCTATAGGAAAGGAGAAGCAAATTCCAAATGCTACCGAGTCCCACCTCATATTATATATCTAATTACATGATGTTCTTTATAGTGTCACAACACTCAGTGCAATAGTATTTTATAATAGTAAAATGCAAGGAGACACCCAAAAAAGGAAATAAGACCTTAGGTACCTCTGCAGTTTTCTTGGCAAGATTTTGCTTCTTCCTACGACTGAGAGAGAATGACTGGCTCAAGGTCACCCAACTGGTTTTTATGTCTAGTTAGGAGTGTCAAACCGGCAGTCCACAGAGCAGATGCATCACGCGTAGGCCACACCCAACCCAGCTCCATGAAGGGTTAAAATGTCATGATACATCAAGTGGCAGCAAGTTTGATACCCATGTGCCTAGGGGACTAGAATTCAAATCCTCTAGTTTCTAGCCTGATGCCTTAACCATATACCCAACTGGCTCTCTAATGTGATATATCAAGGTCTAAAACATGAGGCTATATTTAGATCAATGTCAAAAGAAATAAATACCCGTATTTTTCGGAGTATAAGACGCTCTGGACTATAAGATGCACCTACTTTTTTTGGTGAGGAAAACAAGAAAAAGAAATCTGCCTCTGCCACTCAGAAATTTTGCCTCGTTGCAGCAAATAGCCTGCTTTACTTTCATTTTCATTTTCAGCATAGCTTGATTAGCACAAAAAAAAAAAAAAATCTGCTCCCAGCAATTTATCTTCTTGCAGCAAGCAGCAAGCAGCAAGCAGCAAGCAGCAGAGGCCCGCAAAAAACAGCTGAGAGTCGGGAGGCATCCAAGGGACAATCAACTTGTGCTAATTAGGCTGTGCTGAAGCTGAAATGGGCTGTTTCTTCTTGCTGCTTGCTGCAAGGAGGTAAATTGCTGGGAGGCAGAGGCCAAAGGGTGGGGGGCAGTGGGTGGGCAGGGCTACATTCGGTTTATAAGACGCATCAAAATTTTCACCCGCTTTTAGGGTGGAAAAAGGTGCGTTTTATACTCCGAAAAATACAGTACTTAAAGAGTACATTTTGTGCAACTTTTGAGCATATCTGCACAAGATGGACTATTGTGTCAATCCAAATTTAGCTATCCACTAGTTTTTAACTTTCTTGAATATTCCAACTCAATTCTTATCTTCAGATGATACCAAAATATACCCCCAAAAATGTACTTTAAATAATGTATATTCCTTAACCACTAGTGGTTAGTGCCTTAACCACTACATCAAACTGGCTCTCTAATGTGATATATCAACATCTAAAATATGAAGGTATATTTAGATCAATAAATCAAAAGAAATAAATACTTAAAAGAGTATATTTTGTACAATTTTTGAGCATATCTGCACAAGCTGGAATATTGTATAAATCCAAATTTAGCTATTTATAACTTTCCAACCCAATTCTCATTGTCAGATTACACCAAATCATATCAAAAAATGTACTTTAAACAATGTTATCTTCCTTAGCCACTAGTTGTTAGTGTCTTAACCACTACACCGAACTGGCTCTCTAATGTGATATATCAACATTTAAAATATGAGGGTATATTTAGATCAATAAGTCAAAAGAAATACATATTTAATGAATATATATATATATATATATATATATATATATATATATATATATATATATATACACATACTCATTAAGGGCTGCATCACTAGGGCTGCATAATATCTTGGTTTACGTAGGTAGAACCTGGCTAAAGATATATATGTGTGTGGGGGTGTGGGTGGGTGTGGGTGTAGGTCTTTGGTTATTCGGGTTTTCTCCCATGTAAAATTGGAAGTGTCTTGGCAATGTTTCGACAAAGTCTCGTCATCTTCAGGCTGGTGTTTTCAGCTTCGTGCAATTGCTCCTAGAATGAGACTTTGTCGAAACGTCGCCAAGACACTTCCAATTTTATGCAGGAGAAAACTCAAATAACCAAAGACCTACATACAAACACCCGCGAAAACCTCAGAAAACAAATATATATATATAACATCTTGGATCATATCTGCAAGCTAAAATATTGTGTAA